ACAACAATCAGGGTACGATTTTGAATTGAATATAAATGGCGTTTTTTAAAATTTTTTTTTATATTTTCTCCTGGGCATTCTTCTTTCTAATTTACCCTCCAAATAATTGTTCTACAGAAGGCCTATCCGCATATATATATATTTATATATATAATTCATACATACATATACTCATACATACATATTTGCATAAATACATATCGAACTATAGCTTACGAGACAGGTTGGACTCTTTGGTATCTGCATCAGTTTATCAACGAGTTAAAATTGGATATACATATATATTATAATAATTAATTAATCGGGGATACTTTTGTTCAAAAAAAAAAAATTGAACGTGTCTCAATATTCAATACATTTTTATAATTTATTTTTTTTTATTTATATATAATATTCCTTTCTTGTATAAATCAAAGTTTAAGAGCTATTTTTGTTTTCTAAAGCTCTTGTTGTATATATATATCTGATATATTGTATCTTCTGATATTAACGTACATACGTACGTAATTAAATTGGTGGTTTATTAATTGTATCCGTATGGATTCCAAAAATTTTCCTAATTGCGAGTATGTATCAAAAATTTTTATTGTTCGCTGAATTCTTTAATTGTTCTCATCTTCATATTTATTCTTCATGATCTTAGATGGACGATTAATGTTTCGGGCTGTGTTGGTCAAAATTTCTTTCAAGTAGTATATGGAGTAACGATATATTTATCGTTATTCGTCTTTTTAAGTGCTATTTGGTTATTATTATGGCGTCTATTCAGCAAACCAAACATGAAGTTATTCAGATTAAATCGCTTTTTCGCTCTAGAGGGTTTCTTATTTACTCAAATCCTTTGGAGTAGTGGTATGTTAAGTTTCTTTATCATGGCATTAAGTTAAATTTTTTTTAATTAATTAATTCATTCATTATCTAATTCATTCATTATAACTTTTATGTATAGTCAAAGTGGTTCATTCCTTATTATTAATCTATAACATGTTACCAGAGAACATGATCGTTCGTGAAGTGTTCTTTGATCTAACTTGGTTGTTCGGATCAGTATCTGTGGCAACTTATCTAGCAAGTGTCCTTCGAATAATTCCACGTATGCATTTCTACCGACAAAACCCACGCTATAAACATTCACTACACTTACCAACTCTCCGAGGCATAGTCTCCGTATACACCTCATATATAATACTTGTCAGCGCCATCGTAATCACGTGTGCCTTTTTTACCGGATATTTACGACAACAAAATATAACTTCTGAACAACAAAACGTAATTAATGCTCTGACAGCAATTCATTTTACAACTTATTCAATAAGTTGTTTTTTAATAGTTGCCGGGTTTGCCATTTATGGAAAAAAGTTGGTGGATATTGCGAATGAAGGATTACGTCTATTGGAAGGTGTAAACGGTTATCCAACTACACCAAGAGCACCAAGATCTCCAAAGCGTAATAGATTTTCTCTTGCTACACGACGAGGTAGTAGTTATAGTCATTTGGAATTGAAACATGATCAGATGAAACGAGCCCTTTTAAAGGTTTTTTTTTTCAAACTCTCAAATATATATTTTTCATCGTAAATTTATTATTTTTAAATTCATTAAAAATTTTATTTAATTTTTATAATATAGATGCGCATTGTAAACTCTGCTTTTACTTTGAGTT